TCCTTACTTCTCAAGCTGTTCACGGACAGTTCACAGATGGCATGGAATTTTTCATTGCAAGACTTGTCCGCAATATCATACGTCTCTGTTATCCGAGCGCAGCTTAACTCTTCTGATTCGTTCGGCTCACCAGCACCCCACAGTTTGTAGTCAACAGGGATTTTTGAAGAGTTGCTAAACACCCAGTTTCCTTCCTTTTCAACCTTTAAAGAATACAAAAAATTAGGCACGGTTTGTATTAAAAAAAACCCGATAAGTTGTGCTTTTCAATATCCAATACACTTTTTGTAGTTTAGTAATTAAACAGACCTATAGACTAGTGGTTTTCAAACTCTTTTGGCCTGATCTCTCTTGATGTGAATAAAAAACAAAAAAACTAGGTACAAACTCTAAATATATTTAATACAGATAATTAAGAAACAAAGATAAATTCTATAAAGGCTGACTTAAAATCCCGCCAGTGGAACAGCGATACGTCTGCGGAGTTACACCGCTAGAAACCGGGTTTCGATACCCGTGATGAGAAGAACACAGATAGCCCATTGTGTAGCTTTGTGCTTAACTACAAACAAACTGATTTCAAATATAAACATATAGTAGAAAATCAAAGATAACCTAAAAACAAAAAATAGACACAAGAATACAAATGGTAGATTAAAATTACAAATGTTTATCAAGAGAATAAAGAAGAGAAGAATATATAAATATACACAACTCCTAGAGATAAAGACTAGTCACTAGAAGACAGTATTAAGTCATGTAAAGTCACAATCTCATATAGAAGAGATAAAGACTAGTCACTAGAAGACAGTATTAAGTCATGTAAAGTCACAATCTCATATTGAAGAGGCAAAGACTAATAACTAGGACTCAATATTCGTAGATACGTGAGGTTCAGAACACCTCACATTCTCACAAATGTTTATTTTTGTTTTTATCATATTAAACATGCAGTTTGCAACAGCACACCGAAAACTTACCTTTAAACCAGATGATTTTGCTTCTTTCGATTAGTACGGCACTTATTTCTTATAAGAAAAACTGTTCTTCTATGATTATTGTGAAATGGAAAACAAACCGAAGATGTTGTTCAGTAACAGGTAAAATATTGACATGAACCGAGTTTATCATAAGGCAGAACATTAAAAAGCATATTGACTAACTTACTTCTATATATATTAAAAACAATAATTGTCCAATTAAAGTTTTAATCTTCAGTTTTTTGTTTTACAAGAATGTTTTACGAAAAAATTGCCTAAGTATTTTCATAGTTTTTACAAAATATTTTATTTGGTGCTACGACAAAATGTTAAATACGTCGAATAAAAAGCAAATTTCTGCTGAGTAACAATATTTAAGATGGAGTGAAGTTTTTAAGTAACCGTTTCCAGGTAACCGAAATTCGTACTAAGCAAGACTCAGGAAGTGGCGGTTTGCTTATCAAAATGTTTCTATCTGTTTTTTTTTATTTTCTTGAATGAACTTCCCAAATGTATATGATAGAAATAGAAATATTTATACTAACATTATTTAATCTCAAGTTAATACAAAACTTCTGAAACAGAGTTAAAAATATAGTGTTTCATCAGATTAGGTAAACTTATGGAAATTTTGCATTGACAACAGTGATGTTAAGCCTAATACAAAGTTGTCATTATTGTTTATTTTAAAGTACCAAACAACGAAAAATAAACACACTTTTAACATTTTAAGTAATTATTTGAATCGAGTTCGTTAAAAATACCACAAATTAAGATAAAAGTAATGATGTAGCATAGATTTAATACGTTTGTTTTTTAAATTAGTTTTTTTCAGTAATACGTTTCATGGCGGATTATGAATATCTTCGGTGATATTTTTATTCTGCCATCTATAGAAGCTATTTTCAACTTCAAACACGGCTTACTTAAAAAAAAATGTTATTCGTGAATCTCTTATATTTTATTATCTTGATATTACGAATAATGAACACAATTCATCAAGAGCTAAGTACTTACCTGACTTGACCGGTAGATGGCGACATATGTATCCTTTTGAAGTACTGCAATTGTCTCTTTTCAATTCATGCAAACCGGGAATAAAGAATTTGCACAGCTTTTCCGAAACAGTTAAAACTCTTGGGACCCAAAATCCGCCACCAGGTGGTCGATATTTTATTAAGTTTTGGAGAAGGTGTAGAGTGGTTCTTTTTCCTACCACAGCTAGAATTGCTTCATTACTCTGACAATATTCATTAGCTTCGTAGTAAGTCCCAGCTTCATCCAAAAATATATAGCAGAATTCTTCCATTTCATAACCATCGACACATTCTGCAATAACAGATTTTTCAAGATAGTCAATGTTTGGATAATGGAGTTTCACTCCTGTATTTCAAACGAGTTCGATTTTATCAGCCAAAAATAAAATAGCGTGTAAGAATTAGTAAATGGGAAATTTTCCTGCACAGTCGTGTAAAGTAGTTTCTTTTCATGTAACGCATTCGGTTCCCTTAAAACAATTTGGCAGTTTTTTCTTTTTTAATTCACAAAATTAGTGGTGGCACAATAAAAAGCTTCAGGACTTGTAGCGCTAAAATGAGAGATCTGGTTCCCCGCGATGTATGAAATTCCATATCTAGGTTATAGTTAATTCCCCTAATGTCTAGTAAACTTTTCTGTCAATAATGAAAATGTCTCCCCAGTGATTCAATGGTAACTCTGAGAACTTATAACGCTAAAATTGGGTTTCGATACCCGTGATGAGCACAGACATTCCATTGTGTAACTTTTTGTTTCACAACAAACAAACAAAAAATAATAATAAGAAATAGCATTTTAGACAGATCCATTAGTAACTGGTTTTTTATTTAGACAGTTTTTATTTTACACCTTTTATACAAACTGTTCGCTAAGATTATAAAAAAGTTTAACTCTTTAAACAGAGAAAACGACATGCCCTTTAAAAACTATCAAATACAATTTATTTTAATGAATTTCTTACGATATATGTTAGTTCATCTAAAGATAAAAAAACAGGAATAAATTCTGGCAATACTTGCTTTATATACAAGATGTATAGTAGGCGAATAAATAAAAGTCACAATCTCACATAGAAGAGGCAAAGACTAGTCACTAGAAGACAGTATTAAGTCATGTAAAGTCACAATCTCACATAGAAGAGGCAAAGACTAGTCACTAGAAGACAGTATTAAGTCATGTAAAGTCACAATCTCACATAGAAACATGACTTAATACTGTCTTCTAGTGACTAGTATTTGCCTCTTCTATGTGAGATTGTGACTTTACATGACTTAATACTGTCTTCTAGTGACTAGTCTTTATCTATTCTATGTGAGATTGTGACTTTACATGACTTAATACCGTCTTCTAGTGACTAGTCTTTGCCTCTTCTATGTGAGATTGTGACTTTACATGACTTAATACCGTCTTCTAGTGACTAGTCTTTGCCTCTTCTATGTGAGATTGTGACTTTACATGACTTGATACTATTTTCTAGTGACTAGTCTTTATCTCTTCTCTATGAGGTTGTGACTTTACATGACTTAATACTGTCTTCTAGTGACTAGTCTTTGCCTCTTCTATGTGAGATTGTGAGCTTATGAGGCACTAAGACTGTCTTCTTCCGAATATTTGCGGATTATTATGAATGAGATTCTGAGTTTTTGTGACGTATACAAAATTGAGAAGGTGTAGTACTTGCACAGT